CATTTTGTTTTTGTTTTTTTTCCTTTTTATTGTTCTGATTGGTTGTTTTTTGCTTCCTTATGTTCCATATTGTTGATTTGATTCTCAGCTTCACCCACTCTACTGTTGTTTCCCTGTAAATTGTTCTCCATTGCCATTAGTGTATCCTACATTTCCGTCTGGATCTTTTTTATGCTGTTGAGGTCCTCACTAAGTTCTTTCAAATCCTTAAAACCAGTGTTTTGAATTCAGCATCTAATAGATTGCTGAATTCAAAACACTGATCTAATAGGATGATCTTTGCAATAATCTAATACATTGCTCATCTCCATTTTGTTCAGTTCTTTTTCTGGAGTTTTGATCTGTTCATTCATTTGAGCCATGTTTCTTTGTCTCCTTATTTTGGAAGCCTCCCTGTTTTTGTTCATATCTATTAGCTATGGCTGCCATGACTGCTATGGCTGTCTTGTGGCCTAATGTAGTAGGTGTCCTGAAGGTTCTAGTGGCACAGTTTCCCGTATCACCCTAGCTGGGTACTTGAGGTGCACCTTCCGTGTAGACTGTTTACACCCTCCTCTTGTTGTTGAGCCTTGGTTGCTGTTGGAAGATCATGGGAGGGATTTACCCAGGCTAGTCAGTCAGCTACAAGGACTGGCTGTGACCACTGACCACCAGCTTCCACTGTCCATGGAGGATCAGCTGTGTAGGGGACAAAGTGGTGGTGTTCCAATGTGGTCTGTAGGTGTCCACTGGTTGTGTAGGCTCTGGGGTTTCCTGGGTGTTGCAGGACAAGGTCAGTCACCACCTGTGTTCTGTCTGGGGCTTCCTAGCATGAGCTACAAAGCAGTGTGAGATGGCTGCTACTCGTGCTGGGCTTGGAGATCCCCAGGCAAAGCCAAGCTGTGAATCTAGGCTGGTTGCTGCTAGTGTCTGGCCTAGGGCCACTTAGCAAGAGGTACGAGGGCTGGGAGCTCACTGAGGCTGGCTCTTGCTTGCTTGAGAAGATTTGGGAAGATATGAAGCATGAGCCAAGACAAGCCATTCATATGGTAAAGCTACTGTTAACAGCTTTGGTGGGCTGTAAGTTGGGTGGGGCAGAACCTCAGGGAATCCTCAGTGTGGGGCAAACAATGTGGGCCAGGTTGATGGAATTTCAGATACGGTACCCGCCTGCCAGCTCTGTGGCTCTGTCAGGGGAGGGTTCAGAAAAGGAACGATGGCCTCTACCTGACATTTTGTCTGGGAGAAAATTGTCTCCCAGCTCTTGCCCTGATGCCAGACACTTCATTTCCTCCCTGTATGCCACTAGTGCCTTTCAAGCTGCTATCCTGGTGCTGGAGCTCAGAGAGCGTTTGTGTAATTCCACGTGTGGGCCCTTTTAAGAGGAACTGCTTGTGAATCCAGTAGTTTCTTTCGCCGACTCAAACCTTGCTGGTTTTTGCAGACAGGAGTTATGGGGTATTATCATCTTCCTGGCTCTAGAACCCTGGGCTGGAAGGCTTGGTGTGGGGCTGGAGTCCCTCGTTCCTGAGACAGTCCTCCCAAATTTTTATCCACCACATGTGGACGTGGGACCAGCCCATTCTGTGTCTCTGTATCTCCTACCAGTCTGGGTGGATGTGGTGTCTTTAGTTCTGTAGTTGTCAAGCTTCCATTCAACTCTATTTCTGATGGTCCTGAGTGATGGCTGTGCTGTAGTTTAGTTGTAATTTTGATGTGGTTTTGCAAGAAGGAGAGCCATGTTTACCTATGCCTCCATCTTGACCAGAAGTGGGAAGACGAATTAAGCAGGCATTATGCTGTTTAGTACAATAATGATTAATGGGGGTTTGAAAAAGAAGCAACAATCACTAGAAGGAAAGACCTCCAACCAAGCCTTGTTGATCATGAGAGAAGAAACCCTGTGTGGCCTTTGAGTTCTGCCACTTAACCACCTCTATGACCTTGGACAAATTACCTTCTCTTCCAGAGCCTCCTCATTACAACACCATGGGGTTGTGTGAGCATCAAATGAAATACAACAAAAGATGCTTCCAAACTGTAAGGGACTGTGTAGGATTCTAGGCTACATTCTTTTACATTTTAATTCTTACCAAATTTGCAAGTGACATAAAGCTAAAGAGAGAAAACCTGTGAGAGACAGAAATAGAATCTAAAATCTCCTGTCAGGCTAAAACAAAGATGAATTTTCAAGATAAAATGTAACTAGAAAAATTGTCTTAAAGTTATATAAAAATTTTGCAAATGTCTTTAAAAACTGTAATTTTCAGAGCTAGCACTTTAGAAAACCAGGTAATTTTATATAGTCCTGGTAAGGGTATAAATAGGCACACCCCTGAAGGAAAATAAACAATGTATATCACAGGCCTCAAAAATAAGCATATTCTTTGACCCAGAAAGCCAGTTCTGTAAACATATAAATTGTGTTATATAACCCAAAGATGTTCATTCAAGTATTATTTATGGTTATAAATAACTATTAATAACATACATCTAATAATACAGATTTATAAGTAAACAATTATACTTACGTGGCATCAAGTACTATACAGCAATGGTTCTCAGCAGGGGGAGATTTTTGCCTCCCCTGCTCCAGCAAACATTTAGCAAAGTCTGGAGACACTTTCGCTTGCCATAATCTGTGGGGGAGGGAGGTATCACTGGCATCTTAGTGGGTAAAGGCCAGAGACACTGCTAAATATCCTACAATGTACAGGAAAGCATCCCCACCACAAAGAATTACCTGTCCCAAAAATGTCAATAGTGCCAAGAAACAGTGTTGAGAAACAATGCTATATAGTCTCTAAAAATTATGTTGAGGTAGAATAGCTAATGATATAGGAAAACATCAAAATATTTTGTAAAAGTTTTTGAAGTTACAAAACACAGCGATTTCATTTGTGTGATAAAAAATGGACTACATTCAACAGTAATTGGTGATAGCAGTGTTATGATTTTTCTTCTGCATTTTTCAAAGTGTCTTCTATCACATATATTACCTTGAACATCAGCAAAGAAAAATACTCAGTGAAAATTATCAAGTGTTGATCTTCTCCATGAGCAATGTGAAAAAGTTTTGATGGTTTTTGTTGACAATGAGCCTGCAGTCTTGGGCTTGATTAACCAAGATCTATCTTACAAGATCTGGAACGAGGGACTGGCGGTCCTCTCCAGCCTGTGCTGGCCAGGTCTCACCTGCACTCTTGTGTTCAGGACAGGGAACCACATTTTCTCAGGCATGTCGGAGTTGTATGCTTACACTGCACCTATTTATGCAGAAGTGGTGATTTCAGTCTGATCCAGTAAACTGAAAGTTATCTTTAGGTAACTCTAGGATGCTTCCCCAGGTAAATGTCCAGTCTTTCAGAGTTCCCCTCCTCCCTTCCACACTAGCTGTGGACAAAGGAGAAGGGACTGAGATCCACACCATCTCTTGCAGATCCTTGCTCCCTCTGCTGGTCAATGCCACACCTGAAGTGGTGGCGGCTGAGGGCCATTCTGTCCCTCCCTGCTGCTGAAGCCTGGGGCTCAAGCAACCTTCCTTCTCTAGTCCTGGTTGGTCACTACCTCATTCCTGCTACTGCTCTGGACCCCTGAGGTGTGCTGTGATATCACTGTAATGACCCCCCTGGTAAGCTTATCAGCCAACTCTCAGCCAACTTCTGCGCAGCTCTGTGGGGATCTAGGGAAGCTGAGTCCTGGCCATACAGGAAGCAGCGCTGCCTGGAGTTAAACCTGCTACACTAGGTTGCTAAGTTATTTATTTAGGGCATGCTTTTTTTTTTTTTTTAACATGTGTGATTTTTTTTGGAGGGGCACTGCCAAGGAAGTGGGTGTTAGAAGGGAAAAAAAGGCTGAACTGATGATGTCGGGGTGGGCGGGGGGATTGGGAAGTTGAGACATTGCACAGAACAAAAGCTCTCAAAACTCAATTTCACTTAATACAGAGGCCTGTGTGGGGGCACCTTGTCAACCCACCATGAGGAACTCTGTGGCTCTAATCCTCCTCCCCATGGACCCATCAGCAAGAAGGGTGGAGGCTATGAGGGAGGGCACCGGACCCGGAAACAGGGCTGAACATTCCCACGGGGCCACTCCCCAACAAGGCCACCAAACTGCGCTGCCAAGTACCAAGACCACTGCTTACAACTAAAGTCAAGGCAGCCAGGGCAAGGCAGTTCGATTCCCCATGGAGAAATACTGAGTAGAAACACACGGGTACTCTGGCTCTGTGGCACCGTCGGGCACAGGGCCGGGTGTTAGTCATACAGGGATGCGGAATGCAGGACTAGTGGAGCAAAAAGGCTGGGGACATGGAACACAGGTAGGAGGCAGAGTGAGGCCTCAGAGCAGAGAGAGCGCCCGGGCTGGCACTGTCCTTGGAGGGTGTGTTGTGAAGGTCTGAAGGTCACTGTGGTTTGGGTGGGCTGCTTAACAGATCCAACACCTGCACACTGAGAATATGCCAGCATGTCCCCCACACCACCTCTTCCAGTCCGCACGCAGAGCAAGCAGTCTGAGTCCCCTCTCCACTCCATTTCTGATGCCCCTTGGCCTGGACCTGTCTGCTGTGCTCATCCTTGAGGTAGAGACTTCTAATCAAAGGGAGAACATAAAGGGACTGGAAAGAGGAAGAGAAGACAAAAATTGCAGGAGAAAGAGAAATATGTAAATGAGTTCTAGGAAAACACTCCAAGACTGAAACCACAATGACCCAGAAAAAGCTAATGCTTGGCTACTGTTGGCTTCAGCATCCCATTTTCCCTGATCACCTTGATGTGTTTCCTCACAGCACTAGTCATTTTCCAACAGGCTCTTCTGCGGCCCAATTTCCTTGTTCCGCTCTTCAACGATCAATAGGGGCTGGCACCCCACGCTGCCCTCAGGAGTGCCTTCTGTGCGGACGACCCTGGGTGGTGGCTCCCTCCCCGGAAGAGGGCACGGAATGAGGGAGAGCACAAGTACCCATTCTTTGTTAGCACAGCTCTGTGGAAATAACCCATACCACCAAACAATTGGCTTAATTTTATTTCAAAATTGTACAAAATGGCCATAAGCGGCTCTAAAAAACTGTCTTCAGACACGTGGAAATTCAGAAAGAACAGTAAAACAGGTTATCATTCACAGTGTAATGGAAAAGCTTTCTCTCTGAGGCAGAAGTTACAACTCTTCTTTCTTCTTCCCTAGTCTCTCGTGGTCTCCCTCCCGGAGGGCTCGAATAAAATTGGTAAATCCCAATTCCTGAGGGAAGGGGAGAGAAAGAAAGAGAGAGAGACCAAACAAAAGGAATTTTAACCCCTGATACAGATGTGCACTCTCTCCCTCACTGCCCTTTCCTGACCCTCCATGCAGAGAAACTAGCGGAGCTGGTGGGGGCAGCCGGTGATGCCGGAGGGTCTCCGGGCCCACAGAAAAACCCTGAGAAGCAGGGAAGGAATCTCTCCCACACCCCGGAAGCCATGCTGGCTCTGGGGACAGGACTTCTGTGACAACCCCCTGAGACCTTCCTCCAGCCTGGCCCAGACCCTTGCCTTCTCAGGTCTGATGGGCCAGATGAGTTCTGCGGCCTCTGGAGGTGCCCTTTTGCTGCCCCTCAGTGGCCGTTTCCCTGCCCATCAGCAGAAAGGGCTCAGGGCAGGTTTCCCTCCCCAACTTACCGTCCGATCACTGTCATACTTTTCTACAAACTTCCCGTAATGGTAGTAGTGGAAAGTGGGGTAGCCCTTGATGGCCTCCTGTTGACATAGGTCCTGGTTTGTATCTTTGACACAGTCAACAGCAGCGCAGCAGATCTACGGGTGACAGAAGGACGGTCAGCACAGGGGCCTCCACCTGAGACCTGAGTCCTGGACACTGCACGCAGACTGCACTCAGCCCATGCCACGTGCTTTCTGTGATCTTTCCCCAACAGCAGGGAGGAGCTGAGCCAAAGCATCACCAGCCTGGAGCTCCCTTGAGGCTGATGGTGCCTGTTTTCTATTTCCAAGGCAGGTGGGTAAGATCTGAGGACTCAGCTTGGAGTGCCCTGAGACTATCATTTAAAATCAAGTAACTGCAAATCAAATATATTTGAAAAAGAAAAGTCCTAGAAAGTTCCCAAAAGCAAAACTTGAACCTTGCCATGTGCTGAGCACTACGTTGAATCCAGTGGAATGAAGTGATGTATAGGCACAAGCTGCTATCACCTATATGCCAGTATGGGTCATATGCAAATATAAGACATTTTATATAAGGGATTTGAGCATCCTTGATTTTGGTATCTGTGGAGAGTCCTGGAACCAATCCCTCAAGGATACCAAGGGACAACTGTAATGGCCATAAAGGAAATTATGACTTGAAAGCAGTTGTAAACACCACAGGTTTTGTGATACTTTCTGCAAGGAACTGTGAGATTCATTCATTTACCAATTAATATTCCCAGACCATCTGCTTGGGGGGCAGTGTAGTTCTATAGTTAAGAATAAAAGTTTTGAAGTCAAGTTTCCTGAGTGTAAAGTTTGGCTGGGTTGCATATTAAGATCTAAGAAAAATTACCTATGCTTCTGGTACCTCAATTCCCATAGGCATAGGACCCTGATACACAATTAGTGGTCAGTAAATGTCAGCTGTCTTTTTTTTTTTTTTTTTAACTTAATTGACTTTTAGAGAGAGAGGGAGAAAGAGAGAGGGAGAGCACATGAAACATCAATTTGTTGTTCCACTTATTTATGCATTCCTTGGATGATTCTTTGTGTGCTTGACCAGAGACTGAACCCGCACCCTTGGCGTATTAGAATGACACTCTAACCAACTGAGCTACCGGGTCAGGACCCAGGTATTGTGATAGTCACATCTACCGGCCCCATACACAAGCTCTGTCCCCAGCAAGTACTCAGTGTCTGTTCAGATAAAGGACAAAAGATAGAGACAATTTGAAGGCGTGGTCGGAGGCATGATGGAGGTGATCCTGGGCACCAAGAGAGCCCAGGAGAGTGGGGCAGACACTGCACAGTTTGCCATCTGAGCCAAGCCCAAAACAGGAGCAGAGAAAGTTCCAGCCAGGGGGGCATTTTCCAAAAAATAGAAGAATTCAGTATGACTAAAGCAAACTGAGTTTGGTCAGAAAGAGGTTCCCAAATTGGCCTTCGGCCTCTTCTTGCCCATCTTACCAATTCCATATGCTGGGTGGTATTTTCTTATTATTTGGTATTCTTTCAAAACAAGAGGGTATAAAGCAGGCACACAGAACTTTTTCCCTGTTCAGGGTCACAAAGCCAGGAAGAAGGGGAGAGAGTCCAGTAATGGCAACACATATACAAAAGCATCACAGAAGAGGGGAGAACCAACTCTGACGAGAGGCCAGCATTTAACAAAGTCCCATTATATGTTCTAGATGCTAACGGTACAAGGTGACTTTGATGAAGTTCAGTTATTGAGTGACTGCCATTCTTACTGCTGAATGACTCGTAGTGAGATCATTTGAGAGCCCAATGACTACTCTGAAGAAATTAAAAGAGCGTGATTCCACAAGACAATAGCCAGAAGGGCTGCTTTCTCCAGGATGGCCAAGGCCTTTCCCAGGAGATAACATTTGATCTGAACCCTGAGTGATAAGTAGGCAACCAGCTGCGTGATGAGCACCCAACGAGAAGAGCAGCCCACGCCAGGACCTGGGAAAGGAATGCCCATGGGGCCTCTGAGAGCTGAGGGCATTAAGGAAGTCAGACCGAACTATTCCCACAGCTTGAACTGTTGAATAACCATGATTCCCGGAGTTCTTTGGCTGCTGGTTATTTACATTTGAACAAAGGCCCCCTTTCCAGGTAGGAGAGCCCTGAAGGCCACCAGCAGTCACCATTATGGGTCACTGACCATGTGCCCATGTGAACAGGGCTACTATTCCATGAGCAGCAGAACTGATGGTCAGCGTGAAGAGTGAGTATGGCCTGCATGCTGGGCACCACTGTGCCACACCTGCCCTCACACTTCTAGCTCTTCAGCTACAACGTTCTCTATAGCAGTGTTCACAGGGGAAGTGAGGCAGGAGACAGGAGCAGGGCTCAGGTAGTAATGTAGCAAAGCTTTCTTTGCTCACCTGCTGCTCCCCTACTGCTATGTGGCCCAGGTCCTAACACCCCACAGACTGGTGCTAGTCCGCAGCCACCTGCTCTATAGTGCTACTTTATAGAGCAGAGTTTGCAAACTTGCTGCATACAATCTCTATCTGGCTCTCGGTCCTTCTGTTTGGCCCACACAGAATTTTTTTTAAAAATCTGAATTAGCTACCAACTTAGAGAAAGAGCCAGAAGACTTTCATATGAACGTTTGGCTTGACAGCTTCTCTTTAAAAGCCAGGTGTGATGGCACTTGCTCTCCATTTCCACAGGCAACACCTGGCTGGGGCAGAGGGACTGTCTCCTCTGGGCAGGTTCAAATGTCGTTCCCACAGGAAGCCTGATCCAGCAGACCCGCAGGCCGGCCCCTAAGGGTTTCAAGAACCTCAGCTCACCCTCCAAAGCGCTTTTAGATTTAGAAACCTGGGGCAGGCGCTCCTCTGGCCGTCCTCTGGGTTCAGTTCTCGGGGCAGGCGGGGAGGGGCCCGGCGCCAGGGAGACCTCCCGCACCGGGCAGCCCGGCAGCCGTCTTGGAGACCCCAGGCCAAGGATCCAATGCTCCCCTGTTATGCTGTGAAAGTGTTTAATGAGCGGTGCTCCAGGCTGCTGTTCTCCCTGCATCCACTTTAATTTATAAATTTAATTTGTACACATACCCTGGAGCTGTGGGAAATGTAGTATATGATTTTATAAATCTACTAAATTAAAAATGTGGACTTATTCTGAATCACCTAGACTAGCTGCCAGCCACACACAAAGAGGGCTACTTCTAGCTGCAAAGACTCCTCTGTGCTCAGTTTCCGTAAGAGACAAGGGCGGCCCTCTCTGAAGGAAGTGGCATGGACTCATTGGAAAGAAGGCAGCAGATAAACCTTTCTCATCTCTCCCAATTTCATGGTGTAGATGCCTGCCCCCTTCATGCCCACTCACGATCTGTACTGAACTCACCAGCAGCACAAGTCTAACTTCTAGACTTGTTCCATGGTACTTGCTGTCGGTGCCCCTGCCGCATTCCCTTGGCCCAGCAATTGCCACTGGTACCTACCTGTACCGCCTGGCAGCAGAGAGCTGGAAGCAAGGCCAGTGAAACAATCTGCTCATTAATGCCCCTGCTCTCGTTCCCTTCCTATCTGCCCTTTCCTCCTCTATCCCCTCCTAAATAGACCCCCTGAAGTCAAGTCCCAGGCCCCCACTGGCTTCTGGGAGAACTCTGACAATGCCTGTTGGTTCCATTCTAATGCTGCCCCTTTCCAGCTGGGTAACTCTGGGCTAGTCATTTGACCTCTCTAAGAGTCAATCTTTGATTGAGAAAGTAGTAATACCTAGTTGAATAAGCTATTGTGAGGACAATATGACATAATGCTTTTAAAGTAGTAATGGGACAGGGACTCTCAAGAAATATGAAATATGTTATTGTTCCTTCATTCAACAAACATTTACAGAGGTCTCAGGAGTAAAGACTGCAGGGAGTTCAAGGACAAATGAGGTCCCTGTCCTCAGGGAGCTTGCCCTCCTGATGGACAGGCAGCTTTGTAAACATGTTGGGGACTATATACGACATGGTCAGAGTTACGGGAGCCTGAGGGCCAATCACAGAGGAAGGGCTCCTGTTGCCTGAGGGACCCCCCCGGGATGACCTTCACACCTGGCCAAGAGCTGCACTGCAGGCTCTGCTCGCCGCCAGGCCGGGCGCACCCGGATGTGCAGAGATGAGCCCCACCTTGCAGCCCAGTGCTCCCCTGACCCTGGCCGGTGTCCATGAGCCTCCCACCTGGGATCCTTGCCCTCCATGACCCCTTCCCCTAACACCATTCATTCCGACACTACCGGCCTGCAGCCTTTCTCCACTCAGCATGTAAACTGCTGAAGTCCCTCAGTAAGCGCCTGAGAGGAAACGGAGGCTCCCTAGCTAAAATGTGAACTGCCTCACGTGGCTTTATTGATTCAGTAAAATAAATCTCTGCAGGAGCTAGTATTGACTTTGGCTATGAAAATGAAGTGAGCAACCAATTGCATATTGATTGGGGAAGGAACAGGGACTGGCTTCTAGATGGAAAAAAATGCAATGCCAGCTAGGAACGGGGATGTCAGGAGAGCCAGTTTTGGCTGCAACAACGCACTGCTCCTCTCTGGAGTCACAAGTGGAAGGAGAGAGCAGGATAGGCCAGGGGCCGCCAAACACCAGCCTGTGGCCAGCACAGGAGCCAGTTCTTACAAATAACAGTTCCTGGAACCATGCCACAGAGTGTCTGATTTGATAGTCTAGGATGGTGCCCAGCATGTGGCAGCAGTAATGTTAGTCTCCCAGGCCAGAGGCAGAATACTGCCCCGAGGTTGCTGAGAGCCACCTCCAGGACCCAGGCCTGCCAGCTGCCTGGGACAGACAGGTTAAGTGTGCTTCTGCAAACAGGGTTATCCCTGGCTTGGAATAAAGGAAGGTGGAAGGAGAGACAGAGGGAACGACCCCAGGAAAAGGCCAGCAACATTACTGGATCAAGTTAAGACAATTAAGCAAAGGTGCACCAATGTCTCAGAGAAGGCGGGGGTCACCGTGAAAACGGGGTTTCTGTGCATAAGTAGAGGGAAGAGGGGAAGAGGAGGGCTGACCCTTGGCTGCCTGCTGTAGGCAAGGACAGCCTGGCCTTGCTGGGACTGATGCGATGCCTTCACAGACCCTGGGGCCACGGAGACCTAAGCAGCCATGGCGGCAGAGAGACCCCACACCTCTGCCACAATCCTATCTGTCCAGACACAGAGTGTTCTCTGGGGAGGAAGGCCTCCCCACACCTCCCAGGGCCCAGTGTGAGGGACCCTGCAGGGACTGACAGCCTGGGCTATGCTGGACCTCCCTGGAGCTCCCAGAGCAGGAGCAGCCAGCCTGGCAGAGGCGCATGCCCTAGCGGCAGAAGCGGGGCGGATGGTGAGAGAGACTGAAGATGGGAAGCCCCTTTTGGCCCTGTTCCTCTCAATGCGGACCAAGTGGCCAGAGGAGAAACATGGTTCTGGGACTTATACTCCCTCCTACAGGGGTGAGGGGTTCCTTCAAGGCCACGGCCAGGGCTTGTGGGTGACGACGGGACTCTCTGAGTCTAGGGCAGGATCCCGGGGTCTGAATCTCCAGCGGTCCCCACTGTCCACATGCGCCTGTGCCCCGGCCTGGCTTCCTCTCACTTGCTGACCCTGTAAGCATTCTCTATCCTATTGCTGCCACCCTCGCAGGGCTGACTCGAGGTGATCCCATTGTCTGTGTCCAGCCAGCTTCTGCTTTGCCTGAGGATTCCCGCCAGGAAAATAAGGCACCACGGCAGAGATGCACATGACTTTGGGTTTGGTGCGTGTAGGTGTGTTTCTGGGGCGTGTCAGGAAACAGGTTCCTACGACCTTGTCCCAGAGCCTGGGAATGGCCTTCATGTTCATCTAGATCGGCCTCCAACTTTACAGAGAAGGGAACACATGGCCTGGAGACTTGATGTGACCCCTCTCAGGTCACACACGTCAGCAGCAGTGAAGCCACACCAGCCTGAGTTCCGGGTTCTTCTCCTGGGCCACAGGCCCTCCCTGGGCAGCGGCATGGCTGCTGGAGCTGCCTGCAGGACGTGCCCTGGGGGCCCCCTCTCCCCACACTCTAATCCAGTCTGCAGGTCTAGCTTGTTAAGTTTAGGCTTCATCAGTCGGCTGCTCCAGGAGCCTTTCACTTACGAAACTCCCTAGACAGAGCCTGCTCTCCTCCACCTTGGCTGCCTATTCCGTTGGATTTTTTTAATTTGTATTTTTTATCATATAAGTAATGCATGACTACAAATCCCACTGTAAAAAGGTTCAAGCTCTAAAAAAAAAATAAACAGATGAGCCCTCTACCACCCCCCTCCTCCAAGGAAGGGCTGCTCCGGCTCCGTGTCTCCCTTTTGGTTGATTTTGCAGTATAAATCCAGCTTGCTCTATCCTGCCTTACCAGGAAAAAAGAAAGTCCTGGCTCCCAGGAATCCCCTGGTCTCAGCAGACCCTATCTGGGAAGGGGACTGAATGGGGAGAAGGTGTGGGAATTGGTGACGGGGCAGAGCTGAAGGCAGGACACGTGATAAGGAGGGGTATCCTTACCTTTCGGTCATCTTTGAAGACGTCAGCGGTGGCAGTGAAGTGGGGAAAGACCTTCTTACAGTGTGGGCACCCTACACGAGAGGGAGAGAGAATGCCACACATGACGGGGAGGCTGCAGAGCCAGGAGCCCCTCCTGGAAGCTCCAGAGAGGTCCTTCCAGAAGCTGCTCTCCACCCAACAGACTGGGGGGGTTCATCTGACTCCCTCCCTGTGCACACCCCAATGTCAGGGCCCATGCATCAACCCTGCCCCTCAAACCACCATCCTGTGTGTCTGCTGTCGGCATGAGGTGTCCCTGTGCGAGCAGCAGGCCGACTCCTGTCTGGCACCTCCCATCCTATACCCAGACTAAGGTGGACAGCTCCGTCCCACAGAGGGCTGCCCTGATGGCTGGAAGAACCCGGTGCAGAGGGAGCTTTGGGCTCAGAAGAGGTGGGTGTGCGCTCAGGATTCTCTGAGCCTGTTACAAGGCCCCCTCCTCTTGCCCCAGTGACAATGGCAAACCTCTCCATTTCATGACTAAGAAAGTAGGACTGGGAAAGGCCGGCAGGGGGAGAGAGCAGGGGAGGCCCAGGAGCAACCACGTCACTTGAGCTCCAGGGCCGACTTCCACAATCTCAGCAACCAATACCTCATCCCAGACCAAGCCGCCACACCAGGCCCCCGGTCTTCATGCTGTCCTTTGACCCTTCGCTCTACAACGAACCTGAACCTTGGATCCAGGCATGGGGAAGCCAAGGTCAGGCTAAGAGGACGACAAGATGCAGGGAGTCCCTGACACTTCTCAGGGCCTAGGTTCCCGACCCAGGAAGAGGCCCTTCAGAGCAGACGAGGTACCTGTGGCTCCAGAGGCCCTGAGAGGGACCGTGGTTCGCATGCCACCCTGTCTCTTTTGCTCTCTGTGCTCAAACCCGGGGCAGCAACCACTGAGGACAGAGCTTGGGAAGTTGCAGGCCACTCTGGCCCAGACCCACTTTCTCAGCCTTTCCCTCGACATCGGCAGATCAAAACCCAAGCCCACCTCTCCTCTCACCCGTTCCCCAGACATGGAACACGGCTGCCAAGAGAACAGAACTGCTTTCAGGGGAGGATTTCCCTGACTGTGGTAATTTATTCTCATCAAAACACAGGTGAGGGAGGCCAGATGCCCTGTGGGGAGACCTGGCTCCAGCCAAGACCCTGACAAACGGCTAGGCCGGCCCTCCAGCCCTCCCTTGGCCTGGGGAAGCCAAGGCAGTGACAGAATGGCTTTGCTCATCTGCTTTTCCTCTTTTAAAAATAAGATGATAATGATTGGCATTTCAAGGGTTTTGTGAAACCAAATTAAGACTAAGCATCAACTTTAACCTGAAGCCAGCAGTTGAATGGGTTCCTGGAGTGGGCAGGACCGCCCGTACAGCATGGCTGGCAGAACAACCAGTGTGGACGGTGATGGGGAGGGGGCTCCAAGGAATTTCCATCATCTAACCCAGGAGTAGAGAAGAAAGCTAGGCTCGTGATGGGCTATATCAGAAATAAATGTACTTCACACAGTCTAACTCATGGCAGGTACTAAAAGATGTTTTTCGATTGCCTCAGTGGCAATTACAAGAACACTTAACTAATGTGACCTAACAGAGGGACAAAGCGCTCAAATTCAAAAAAATGTCACACCGTGAAGGGTGTAATGTATATGCTGGCTGACAAGGCTCGCCAAAGCACACCCTAGGTCACCGAGAGGCCCCTTGTGAGCGGCACGGATGCCCACTGATAGCATCAGTCTGCCAGAAATAGCTGCCCTCTTCCCCCAAATCTGGATCGCTAATTTTCCTTTCTAACCCCTTTGCTTAAAGTATAAAAGCATAGAAGTATAAAAGCAACTGTCAGCCTAGTGCAAACTCCTGTTAGCATCAATTTAAAGTATTAATCTCAGATTAATGGCCTCCTGTTGCATCTAATTTTCTCGTTATGCAAAAGAAAGCGGACAGTGGATGACTAACCGGAACGGGGGCTGTGTGAGACAGGGCATAAGCAAGTTGCCAAGAGGTGTCAAGCGGGCCAGAGAAGTATGATTTTTTAATTTGGACTCTTCAAAAAAAAAAAGCACTACCTCTGTAGAGCAGGAAACCAAAGGAGTTTCCCAGGGTGAGGAGACAGAAACAAAGACTGAGGACAGGACAGAAAATTCCAGTTTTAGAGACGCAGCCAAGCTGGCCTAACGAGGACAGCCACCATGGCCAGGCCATTCAGAGCGAAGCGGGGCTTGGAACTGGGGAGACCAGTGAAATAGCAAGAGGAAGATCTGGAAGATCTGTGCGGAAACTGGGGAGACGGGAGTGGGGGAAGGTGAGCCAGGGGGAGGGATAAGAAGGTCGGTTTTTGGTTTTTACTTTACATCTACCTTATCAGGTATTTGACCTTTTTGTAGTATTCAGAGTGGTGGTATACAAATAAGTATATATTATGTACTACTATATCTATTATAAATAAGTATATATTATTTCTATTACTTAAAAAATTGTGAAGATTTGTTTGTCTTTGGATGGTTGCCGCCACCCAATACCCTTAACCCACTGATTAACCTGTGTCTGGAGTCTGGAGCAGGCTGAGACAGGAAAGCGCAGTAAGGAGGTGGGAGATTCCAGACCACCAAGCCCTTTGCCGAGAGTTGAGTCACTCGGGGACTCGCAATGCATTTACAGTTATCTCTTGCCTCGGCAGACTGTGGGACCAGAGGCCTGGCAGGGACCACGCTTCCTTCCTTTGTGTACTGGGTCCAGGACACCACCCTGCACACAGCTGGTATTTGACGGCGGTCCTTAGCAGCCCGGCAGAGCAGGAGTCCCCACCCCAGGGTCAGGGGGAAAAAGGGACATTTCCAGGGAGAAGTATTTAGCCCGGGCTTTCTAAAGCCCATCCAGCAGCTGGTCAAGTGCTCCTACTTCTACAGCCAGGTTGTCACTTGCTGCTGAAAAAGTCCAGAATCTCTGAATTGAATCTGTGACCAAAAAAAGGAGCACCAGGCTGCAGGAACAGGTCTGTCACTAACTTGCTTCAAGGCCTTGGGCAGATCACTAATCCAACCTCCTGGGTCTCAGTCCTGCACCCCGGAGTCTCCCCAGAAGGAAGATGTTAACCTCTTAAAATCCCATCTTTCAGGCAAATTTTGAGGGCAGACAAGGACAGTGAGAAACTCTATACGGAACTGAGAAAGCCAAGGTCCCACTCAGGGGTACATGTTAGCCTCCTGAGGGCGGCGTCTAAGGCTGGGCAACGGCAGGGCCGGAGGCAACCCTTTCCAGATGGGGAGCGCCGAGAGACATTATGGATTACTGACACTTGAAAAGTGGGGGCAGGAGGGGAGCAAACAGGAGGGCTGGCTACAACCCAGCAGGTTTATGAGGGGCTTGAGCTGCCTGGCTTCTCCACAGAGCACAGCTTTATTATCCCCACTCCATTAAGCTGAGCTGTAACCTGGGAGAGGGAGAGAAGGGCAACGGAAGAAGAGTGAGAAATTCAAGAGCCCTTCCTTTTAAGTATCAATTAACTTCAAAATGGGAATACACAAAACCTGAGGACACAAACACCAGTGTTAGCAGGCGTGCCACTTCCTCAACTTAAGCTTTGATTACAAGGAATGTGACTGTGCTTTATTGCAGCTTCAAAACCAGTGGCTTCAAAGCCACGTGGGAAGGCCAATTCCAAGTTGCTAAGTTCAAAGGTTTGAAGGTGAAACCAGGATGGAGGAAGCCAAGAGGTGGAAGGAAGTGGCTGGGTGGGAAGCAGGCAGCCTGGAAGATTCCATGAACACGAAGCGACTGAATTATCGTACAGGCGGTCCCTGCCACAAGCAGAAGCAGAGGGCGTTAGGGCTAATGTGAGAAAAGCTCCCCAGATGGAGGGAGAGAGCCCAACAGAGCTGACAGGAGCAGGCTCTGCATGTGGAAGGACCTCAGCCTGGGATGAAACTGGGGAGGCTGACAGCAGAGATGAGCTGACAGTCACCTGCAGATGCCCCGATCCCAGCACGGACCTTGGTTCGGTCTGGCCCACGCCTCGACCTCACCCCTCAGTGAGCATCCCAGCTACTTACAAGGGGCATAAAACATGACCAAGGTGTGTTTCTTCTTCTTCAGCGTCTCCCGGAAGTTGTCCCCCATCAGGTGCAACACGCTGGTCTGCTGCTCTTCCCAGGTGGGCTCTGGGGGTAGGGGGGCCTCGGGACTGCAGGAGGCCGGGGGTGGAGGGGACACAGGCATGAGGAGAGGCTCACGTATAGGCAAGTCCTTCCACCCCTACCTCCATCACCACCATGCAGGGGAGCAAGAGAGAAATCACTTTGCATCCTTTTTAAAATTTAAAATGTCAGTTAAACATGAAAAATATCTGTACCATCAGCAAGATATCTGATTCCCTCTGAAGAGCCTAGTAAGAGCCATGTTAGGGCAGGGCAGACTCTCCAGGTATGGGCTGTTATCTCCTTGCTGCGGGTATAGAAGCTCCTCTGCAGGGCTCCTCTCCCCCCTCCTCTTGTTTCTTCTGAGACCCTGAAGGGCCCTCCATTGTTCTCTGTTCCTGAGCCTTTGTTCTGGTGGAGAGAGCATAGGCCAAGGAGTGTAGGGAGTCCTGGGTTCAAATCCAGATTACTTATCAACTGTGTGACCGTAGGTAACTTACTAAACTCCTCTGAGCTTTCATTTTTGTTGTTGTTATTGTTAAATGGGCACAACGATACCTACTTTCTGGGATCTTTTATATAGAGCAGAGAACATATGTAAAGCACCTAGTGAGACAGACAACTAACAGTTGCCAAGAGCCTATATGCTCTAATAAATGACAGGTGTTCAGTAAGTGTTCATAATTTTTCATTCTCTTTCTGTGCACTGGTTCCCTCCACTCTGCCTCACAGAAGTATAGCTCTCCAGGGTCTTTTAAGAGCCTTTGTTGCCCTTGCCCCCTTCCCCACAACCGCACCTTTCTCTCCCTTCTCTGAGGGCATCTGGGTGACAGCTCACTCAGCCCCCTCACAGGAGGGGGAGGTGCAAAGAACTGCATGTTCCGAAGTCCTTGGGTGAGCTGGAGGGTCCTTGAGCCAATAATTGCAAGGATACTCAGGTTCTCTGGGCTTTTGCACGCTGTTACAGGATGAACTGTGTCCACTCCCCCAGATTCATATGTTCAAGTCCTAACCCCTAGCATCTCAGAATGGGACTGTGTTTGGAGATAGGGTCTGTAAAGAGGTAATCAAGTTAAAATGAGGTCACTGAGGTGGGCCTTAATCCAAACTTACTGGTGTTAAGAACGGAGATGAGGACACAGACACAGAGGGAAGACACAGGAAGAAGATGGCCAAAGAGAGAGGTTTCAGAAAAAACTAACCCTGGAGACACTGGGTCTTGAACTTCTGGTCTCCAGAATAGTGAGAAAAAAAGCTCCTGCCGTTAAGCCACCCAGTCTGTGCTACTTGTTGTGACAGCCCTAGCACACTAATAAGCAGCCTGCAGGAGCTCTGTGACTTCTGTACTCTCCACCCCAGAACACCGCCTGCAGCACCATGGGCACCACTGCGGGCCCTGAGCACCGCCTGCAGGCCTGGGTCCAAGTGAGTCCAGCTCTCAAAGTGAGGAGCGAGTGTTCCCATCATTCGTTCACAGGGGGTGGAATGAAGTGCATATGATGAAACCTGGAGCCAAGACACTGGGAGGAGGGGGAGGGGTCCTCTAAAATAAGAAACACAAGGCTTAGAAGCCGATGAAATTGCATCCAGAAAGGCTACCTGCTGGAGGAGGACACCTGGTGAGCGCCCTGGCAGTGGTTTTAGGATCGGGGAAGTCCATCAGTCTTGACTCCTGTGGCCCCGAGCCAAGGACAGCAGCGCCCAAGGTTTCGTTCTCCTCCTCAAGGCTGCCTCTGGTGGCCAACAGCCAGGAGTCAAGATACACTATCAAGACCATCAGACTTACTTTTGCATCCACTCAATGAAGTTCTTCTTCGTTCTGAGCAGGGGCACTGCATCTTTCTCCCCGTTCTTAAAATACTTCAGCGTAGGAAACTCGGAGATGTGGAATCTTTCTGCCAGGGCCTTGTTGACAGTGGCATCAACAGCTGCAAGGACACCAGAGCTCTGGGACGGGGGAGAGGCCAACCATGCACAACAACCTCAGACACAGTGCTGGCAGAGCAGATGAGCCCAGACAGCCCCCGACCCACCAGGACCTGCTGCAACTTCACTGGGGGGGCGGGGGGGGGGCGGGGGGGGTGGCTGACCCTTGGGCTCACGCATCCCAAGGAATGATGGAACACTGGCATGCCCACCATTCCTCAGTGAGTGCAAAGACGAGGCTTTTCGATCTGCCCCTCCCAAGCAGGCTGGGTAGACTGTGGCTGTTTCCAAGAGCCAGGTCCCAGAGAAAAGAGGGAGAACCTTAGGGCTTCACTCCCAGAGCCACGGCCTGACGGAGGATATGTGGACAGCCATGGGAATGTGACTCCATTCTCTCTGCACCCTTCCATCCCTGGGAGGGGCCCCACCCACCTGCCTTAAGGCATGTCTGCTCAAGGACATGGAGGTCCTACAGACCCCCAGGGACTGGGAGAGCTGCTGCAGAGCTGCAGGGAGGTCATTGTAATGACTCCTGTCACTGATTCTGTAGCCAGAATGGTGGGGGGAGGTTAAAGAAAGGATGCTTACGTCTGCTGCCCTGTGGAGGACTTCGGCTGCACTCTCAAACTCTGGCTTCATTTTCTTACAGTGTCCACACCCTGTGGGGACAAAAATCAAGAGAGACCATTCCCATGGCATGGAGGCTCTTGTCTCCTCCTGCCACTTCTGCACAGCAGCTTGGCCCTATTCCCAAGGCAGGTACCTGGGAGAAAAGAAGAACGAGCACCAGTTCAGACAAAGAAATCTCTGGCCTAACCCACTGCGGGAAGTCCAGCCCCACTGAACCACCTATTTCTCTTCTACTCATAAAACACTTCTCATTCTTCTATTTCTATGGCATTTAATTCTGTACTGCCTTGAGACTGTCATATAGCTGTCTTCTGATATTTAGGAGCAGCCAGGGCATCTTTTTAAAACATAAATCAGATAAAAATTCCCCTGGTTAAATCCTTCCTATGGCAGATACATCAAAATCCAAACTCCTCCCACTGGCCACAAGCCCCACACCAACTGACCCCCAATCTCGACCCCCTCCTGGTCTCTACTCTGCAGCCCGTGGCCCTCTTCCTGTTCGTCTATCATACCAAACTCATTTCCACTTCAGGGCTCTTAACACTGTTCTGGAACCCAATTTTCCCCCAGGTCCCAACATGACTCTCCCCTTCATTTCAATCACACTTCAGCACAAATTTCACCTCTATAGAGAAATTCCACGGCCACATAATCCTAGAGAGCCTCACTCCATCACGGTCTCTTCCAATATCCTATTTATTTTCTCAAGTGAACTCTGAACAGCTGGAATACCTTCCTTGTTCTTGGTCCATCCCCCAATTGGACCGTAAGCTCTGGACAGGCTTAGCTGTCTAGCTCACCACTACGTCCCTGGTACTGAGGATGGTGTTCCATATAGTTTGAATGAATTAACCACATGGCTATATTGTTCAGGTTTACACCTGTGATCAAAAGGTATAACTGGACTAAATACTTTTGGAGCAAGTTGCGCCTTCCACCCAAATAGTTGCTACTTTGACTGAACACCTCTATTTAATATAACTGGCTGCCAATGCAGTTACCGTGCATCTACTGCTCCTCTGCACCACCATTCATACAATTTCCCTGCTCTTTACTCGGTCTGAAAAGCATCTTTAGAAATCTCCAACACCCATGAATGTTGGTCTAAAGTTTCCAGACATACCCTAGGGTTCTCTTGAACTGTTACAGTTTTTGCTTCTAGCATAAATTCCCTCTGTTCCCTGAACCAAATACTAAGGCTAAGCAACATCTTCTGTAAACAGAGTTTATGATGAGGAGACTGGCCAGACCCCGAGGGGCAGAAAGATCTGGCCGATCAAATATCTTCTTCGCTGGTGCCTGCCTGTTCTGGGAGCCATGGGTCCTGGTCAGTGCCAGCCTTGACCCCAGCTCCAGCTTCCTGGGCTTGGCCTTCAGGACACTCTGGCTGCGGGATGGCCAGAGGAGGAGGGTTGTACTTGGGAGTAGGCCTCCAGGCCGCTTGGTTTGTGTCCTGATTGTGATTTGATAGGCCATTAAGTTTTAGTGCCAAACTTCTTTGTTGGGCTTTTATCATCTGTGTAAGTGCACTTACACTGATTTTCATGATCTGGCACAGAGGCTACGCATGAACTCTTCAATCACACTCTTTTCTGGCTGTAGGAAGGTTGGCCTCCCATCAACCCCAAGCCTCCGGATTCTTCTGGCCTCCATTATCTTCAATTACACTTATAATTTTATTATAAACCTGCTATGGAGACTTTCCTGGATCTTGGAACCAGAGCTTTCTAGGGGTCCACATTAATTTGGAAAGCTCTCTGGTACCTGGGACTCTAGAGGAGCCTGGATTTTCCTATCTACATTCCTGCCGCCATGCCCAGACCTTGGCTTGGGGCATGCCAAGGAGGTGGGGCTCCTGCAGATGCCAGCAGAAACCCCGATGTCTTAATGCCATGACTGCCCTGCCCCAGACACCTCAGAGACTTTTTGAGGCTTCCAGGTGTACAAGAGGGAACCCCCCCAAAACAGAATTATCTTCTGGAGGGCGGGCCCCTTGTAGTACAGGTTTCCCCACTACGTGAGTGTTCTAGGAGCCCATCTGTATCAGTGCACCAGCTGGTGGTGTTGGGAGAAGCTGTATTCAGCTTCAGTGAATTTTTTTTTGAGGAATCAGCGTGTTTGTCCATTTCTTGATGGGTGACTTATGAGCACACCTGCCCATACCACATGGATTGTTCCAAAAAAGGCACGACTCCCATGCCCCTACCCTCCCTATTCACCCAATCTCACCCCGAGGGACTTTATTTTTGTTTGTTTCCCCAGATGAAGAAAGTCCTCAAAGGGAAACGTTTTGCCAATGTGGAAGAGGTGAAAGAAAAAATGGCAGAAGCACTAAAAGGCAAGAAAATTGACGAGTTCAAAAACTGTTTTGAGCAGCAGAGAAAATGTCTCATTAGGTATATGCATCACATGGAGAGTACTTTGAAGGTGACTGAAGTTTAAACAGATAAGAATCAATACATAATGTTTTATAAATAAATTTTGGGTTTTTGGGGGTCTCCCCTCGCATATACACCAAAGCTGGTTTGTAGAAACTCAGACACCCTGGAGCAAACTCTCACAGTGACAGATGCTTCCATCCGTTACACAGCCCTCTTTTTGTGCAAAGAAAGTTTTGGGCTTTTTTATTCCTTTATGTTTGTGTAAAATGTGAATAACAAGCTTTAAAAATTTTTCTTCCAGGCTTCTATCCTAAGGAAATAATCTGACATGTAGACAAATATTTATGTATGAGAATGCTCTGTGCAGCATGATTTACAATGGGGAAATAGGGTAAACAACTCAACCTTCAACATTGCAATCCTGGAAATGTATGGTGCCATTATACAATGGAATATTATGTGACCTTAAAAAGCATGTACAAGAAAGCATTTTTAATACCACTAGGAAAATATGTATAAGATAATGTTAAGAAAAATGAAAAAAAGAAAAAGATGCACAGAAAAAGGGACTTAAAGAAGTAAAATAAATCCCTTCCTTCCACCTGGTCCAACAAGCAAATGAAAAATTCAGATGAATTAAAGAATGAAATATAAAACCAAAAATATCATAATGAAATACAGCGCGCTATTTTCACATCTTAGCGGGGGGCGGTCCCAAGCAGCCCAGGAGCCCGGCGCGGGGATGCGGAAGGCTCAGGGGTGAGGCCGTGGCCCCTCATCTGCCTGGCTTCCGCCCTGGATCTCCTTTTTGGGCTGTGTGGTCTTTGGCAAGTTTCTTGATCTCTTTGTGCCTCCCCTTCCTAACTTGTAAAATGGGGAAAATCTTCATGTACACTTCCCGGGTTTTGTTGTGAAGATTAAATGAGCTAATATATGGAAAACGCTTAAAACAAAGCCTGATCCATAGTGAGTACTCAAAAAATATAATAGCTATTATTTAACTACTAAAAATGTAAAGCTTTTGTACAATGAAAGGCACCAAAAAGAAAGTTAAATCAAGCAACAGATTAACAGAGAACATCTGCAACATGGATAAGATAAAAGATTACTATCTATAACCAGAGTTCTAGGTCAAGAAGAAAAAAAAGCCAAACTACGCAGCAGAAAAATGGGCGAAGAGTATGGACTTCGGAATAAGGAAAGGAGGAAAGCCGGTTATCAGAAGGAAAGATACCTGACCTTCCTGGGGGCCAGAGGGCCGCGGCCAGGCAGCCCTTTTGCCCAGGCCAGCAGGAACAGAAAAGGCTGACAGTGTCCATGGCTGGCAAAGAGGCAGGCTCTGCCATACCCTGTTAGGTGTGGCAACACCTTCCTGGAGGGCGAGGTGGCAGGATCTATCGAAGCTCAGGCACACTGACCCCACGGCCCAGCAACTTCACTTTCAGAAGTTAGTCATAAATATTTAGACATGGCCCCAAATACATATATTTATACATGTTCATTGCAGTGTCTGAACTGTGAAAGACTGGAGACAAATGTCTATCATCGGGGGAATGATTTATTGTACAATTTATAGCATCTCTAAATTATAAAATACTATTCAGTGTTTGAAAAGACTGAGGGAGATTTATATGCCAACACCTACATTTACATGAAAACATCTTCAAAACCTGCTGATAAGTGAAAAAAAGCATATCACATAAAAAACGGACAGGGAATGATCGTATCTATATAAAAAAATAAAATAAAATAAAACCCCCGTTATTTAGGTGGAAGCACAGAGGAGGGATGTACCAACTCTTGACTGTGGTCAGCCCCGGGAAGGAAGGTGGGCTGGGGGACACATGTTCTCATGTGTCCCCTGAACCTTGCACTACCAATGACATAATGTTAAGATTATTAAGTTATTTATGCGATTAAAAGATAAAAGGGATTGCATGAAGGAGTTCTATGGCATGAAAGCTATACAAATCTGCACACAGGTCAGAAAAGTCAGTTTAACTGGATGTTAATTTAATAAATAAAAGTTAAAAACAAGGGAGAAATTCGTAAAAGAAGAAACTAGTGAGAATGATGTCAAAGAAACCAGTGAGAATGATGTCAAAAGTGAAAAGTGGTTCCCTCTGCATCATGGGATTACAGGTTATTTTTTCCTTAATCATTTATGTTTCTCTATACCTTCTAGATTTTCTATAAAGATCACACATTACTTTGAGAATAAGACTCCAATACTGAAAGTCTAGACTTTGGCAGGACTTGTCAACCCAATGGACAGCCCAGCTTCTGGAACACGGGCCAGGCACAGCACAGACCTGCTGCCAGCGGGTTGTGGCAAAGATAACACCTCGCGGGGGCCTGTTGCCGAGGAAAGGGGGCGGACAAGGGCAGGGCTGCAGGCACCGGGGCTCCGGCGAGGGGGTGGCACAGGTGCTCTGGTTCCCCGGCAGCTATTTTCTTGGATTCCCTGCCGGCCCCTCAGCACCCGAATGGGAGACAAGCTGCTCCTCAGTGACACCCTTCCTGGGAAATCTCGCTTTGTTCCTTTCACCACCCCCATGCTGGGAGGCTCACTCAGGTTGCCCTATGGCATTGAGTCCTTCCCTGGCTGGACGTAGGGCTGGAGTGACATGGACAGGGAGGAGCAG